AGTCTGAACTCTCAATCACCTGCAGTCCTATGCAAATCTATTCCCCGATGCATTTGCGAAAAAGTGAAATCCAAACATTTGTGTTCCCTTTAACAGTGGACCTGTCTGTACACACAAGGTAGTACCAGGGCCCTCCGCTCAGCAGAAGTGGTGAGCAGCCTCCTATATGTGAAGGAAGTGTTCTCGAATCTTACCTGGTTATTTTCTTGTACTCTTGATGACGATTTCCTTTGGCGGTGACTAATACCCACTAGGAGTGATTGATAGACCAATGACGGCACGTGCAAAACATCATGTACACTCAAACCTCATTATAACAAAGGTGCATCTTACACGAAATAAGTTCGTAATATCAAACAATTTGTTATGTTTATTCCTAACACTATTGCAAGACCATTTTTCGTATATTTCATTATATAGAGGTTTCAGTGTACATTGAAGGTTAGTGCATAGCAAGGCCCAGTGTGACCCTCGACACAAAGTATGTTGATTAAAAACCCTGCGAATGCAAAATTAGAGAAATTGCAGATTTTTAGTGTCCGGCAAAGCAGCCTGGCTGCCCGAGGGCCCAACTGCATGAGCACGGAAACACACTTTGAACATTGAAGTCAGCTGAAAATAGACCACAATGTGCAAGTCGATTGATACGTGTTCGGTAAAACTAGCCATGGGCCAACCCAAGAGAAAACAGGTATGTGGACGCATGTAACAGACTTTTATTATAATTTTTCTCAAACACTAGGCAAATGTACCAGGCACCTGTCTCGTTTCTTTGCGCTCCCGTGAACCGCCTCAATCGGCACACAAGCATTATATTATGGCATACACAACATGATATTACATACACACAACAAAACACACAAGACGCCTCAAATGTTTGTGGGCCCTCGTCGACAAAAGCCCAGTGTTATATGTTAAATCATCCGGCATGGTGAGACAGGATTCTGGGGAATAATAGAAGAAAATGAACAGGGGGTGGGTGTGGGGTTGAGGGTGAAAAAAACAAAACAATAACAGCTCTAAGGGAAGACCCCCGCCATCCTCGACTCGTGTAGTTTTGTACTTTCGTTGACGATGTTTCAACACGCGCCACCGCTAAGGGGGGCAGTAAAACGAGCGCGTTGCAGAGCGTGGCACCTTTGCTGCGAGTACAAAGGCAGCAAAACTAGCCTGCAAGTGGTAATACCATTTTCGCAGCCCAAGCAGGATAACTATGCTCGGACTAAATAAAAAAAAAAAACAGGAAAATGTGCCATGAATGTGGTAGCAGTGTTAATCAGGTCCTGTGTCTCAAGGATCTCTCTCAAGGCAGCCTCAAGTACAAGCAAGCTTGGTCCAGGTTACAAGTGACTGCACGAGACTTTTTTTTTTTTTTCGCTTCAGTAAGAGGTACTGGCTATGAAACTGACTCTCTGCGAGGACAAGCCCTAACACTGCACTGCCACAATAGCAAATATCTCACACTCTGCATGAAAGCCACGGCATTCCCAAAGTGGAAAAAGAAACAAATGTGTCAACAGTTATTCCATTTTTTACACATATAATGTTGCCCACATGGAAACTCTTGGCTTGCTGGCAAATGCCAAATGGTTGATCGACAACAGATGCCACAATTTTTTTTTAGAAGCGCACGTCTCATGTCAAGTGCTGCTTAGTGATTGGGAGAGGGCTCTGAATAAAACCAGACTGACTGGGATTCTCTTTAACTGGCACCTAAATCTAAGCATGCAACAGTTACAGCATTTCGCCTACATCCCAACGCAGTCATCGTGGCCAAGAGTTGGATTTGCAACCAGAGCTGGTAGCATATGTGCTTCTCCAGTGGCGGTTGACCAATTGATATTTGTCTTTTCAAATCCTTAAGCAGATAGTAAACTAGAGCAGCAGAAGCAGTTTCTTGGTTCAACCATGAAAGAAAAAAAATTTCATGGCTCAGAAGTAGGTAGATACTAATGAATAATATAACAGTATGAAGTTGGGCGAGTCAGTTTCGAGGACATTCTTGGGAACATTTCGGCGCGCACATAATAGTAGTGAAAACGTAATGCAAGAAAACAAACGTATGCAAACACGCAACTCAGTTCGTTGAAGGAAGTACACGAAATATGTATCCCAGGGTAGCTCAAGAGCGCATGTGTGTAATAAAGAAACAAACAAGAAAAAACAAAAAACAAAGGACGTGCAGTGGACGAAAAAAAAAAATTGACGAATTTAGGCGAAAATATGTTTGCCTACCAAAAAAAAAAAAAGTGGAGAGTTTGAGAGGTGCAGGATAGAGGTAGTTGGTTTACTGCCCTTAACTGGCTAGTGCATTAACACTCGCCTAAATGAACATATAAAATCTTTAAACCAAAGCAATCACTCCCACCTGGCTGAGCATTGCAGCAGTTTTCAATGTTATCCTGTTTGCCGTGACACAAACATTTTGTTTTATCACAAACACAAGCTAACTCTGGAAACAGTAGAAGCCTTTCGAAAATATCGGGTGTGCAGATAAATTGGTAAACAGCCCTTAGATTGTTTCCACTGACAAGAAGTTCACCCTATTAGGCCATACCGTATTTTCTCGCATATAACCCGCACCAAAAATTGAAAAAAATCGCCTGAAAAGTGGGGGTGCGGGTTATCTGCGAATAATCCGGAAGCAGAGGTCGGCTTCACGGCAATGCATAGCCTGCCGTGCAGTCCGCATCCCCATCGGCATCGTCTGGTGCAAAGCCAATAAAAGCCAACATAGGCCATAGACAGATCCCGTCCGTAGCGTGTTTATTCACTTTTTGCGTGCTTTGTTTGATTTGGTCAACAGCGTCACAACAGCGATTTGACAGCGTCTGTCTCAGAGTCAGGTGTGGCCAGTTTGCACCGTTGGTCAGCTTTGTCTGGTGAGGCACCATGAGTGGGTCTCGGCGACAATCTTTCACCGCGAAAGAAAAACTCGCGATTATAGCTGCTGCGGAAGAAATCGGCAACAGAGCTGCTGCGAGGAGGCACGATGTCGACGAGTCCTGCATTCGCGACTGGCGAAAAAAAAAGGCCTCTCTCGAAAGTGCACACAAGCAGAAGCGAGCATTTCGCGGCCCGAAGACTGGTGCGTACCCCCTTCTTGAGACGCAGCTTGTCAAATTTATTGAGGAGCGGAGGAGTCGCGGCCACGCTGTGTCAACGGAGATGGCGCAGATGGAAGCGCTGAGGTTGGCCCGCGAGATGAACATCTCACGCGAGTTTCGTGCGAGCCGTGGATGGCTCCAGCGATTCATGGCCAGGCACGGATTTTCGATGCGGCGGCGAACGACTATGTGCCAGCGGCTTCCCAACGCCTACGAGGATAAGCTGTTGAGCTATCAACGTTACGTCATCGGGCTGCGGAAGGAGCACAACTACTTGCTCTCCCAGGTGGGAAATGCCGATCAAACGCCCGTGTACTTCGAGATGCCCATGGACACCACTCTGCAGAAAAAGGGCTCGAAATCTGTAAGCGTACTGACGGGCGGAAACACCAAACTACGCTGCACAGTAATGTTGTGCGCTTTGGCGGACGGTACCAAACTGCGCCCGTATGTAATCTTCAAGCGCAAAACGCTACCCAGCACTCCACTGCCACCAGGGATTGTTGTGCGAACCGAAGATAACGCGTGGATGAATGGTGACCTCGTCTGTGACTGGCTTCGCACGATCTGGGAGAAGAGGCCGGGCGCCATGTTGGCACGGCGGTCGGTGCTGGTGTTGGACTCGTTTCGAGGCCACTGCACTGACGCAGTGAAAGCGCGCCTCGCTGACCACCGCACCGACCTCGTGATCATACCCGGTGGCATGACTTCCATGCTACAGCCACTGGACGTGTGCCTCAATAAGCCGTTCAAGGCGCACGTGAAGCGGCTGTATGCCGAGTGGATGGCCGACGGCCTTTACGCCCTCACACCGACGGGGCGCGTGCGGAGGCCAGACATTGCGCTGCTGTGCCAGTGGATCGTGGATGCGTGGGGGGCGATTCCGGCCGACATGGTGCGCAAGAGTTTCAAAAAGTGCGCCATCAGCAATTGCTTGGATGGCACCGAAGATGATTGCGTCTTCGAGAGCGGCGACGAAGCCTCGGATGGCAGCAGCGACAGCGGCGAGTCGGGCGATGATTGAAGGAACGGGAATCGGCGCCGTCAACGTTGCGGCGATCGCTTCGAAATAAAGTTCTTTTGTAAACGAGATTGTGACTGTGACTTCCCAAAACAGTTTTTTTTAAGCTAAGCATGCGGGTTATACGCGAGGATTTTTTTGTTTTCTTTTTTCGGGGAGTTCAAAGTTAGGGGAGCGGGTTATATGCGAGGGCGGGTTATATGCGAGAAAATACGGTACTTGACCTTTACCACCTGTTGTACGTTGTAGATACCGCTTGAGTAAAAAATAACTCATGTTGTGTTCTTGTTTCATTTCAATTTCTTGCTCGTTTCTTTTGTTCTTGCGCACATGCGCTCTTGAGCAACCCCGGTGTACATTTCGTTTACTTCCTTTAATAAACAGAGAAAACAGAGTTGCCAGTTCGCGCTCGCTTGTCTTCTCGCCTTGAGCTTTGCCTTCTATTGTGTTCGCACTGAAATGTTTCCAGTAATGAACCATGTAAAGACTAGTCAGAATAAAAACAATACTATAAAATTTGTTTTAGAAAAATGTCAAGGCGAACTATTTCTAAATGTTAGCAGCATGTAGAAGGTGCTTTAAGTGATGCCACAAACGGAGGCAAGGAGCGTTCTCTGCCTCCGTTTCTCTTGTGGCTTTCCCGACCATCTATGAGCTGTTAACATTTAGAAATGTATCCTTACCAATTTGCCTAAGCGTCAACTCTTTGCAACCACCAAGAATCCATCACAAACTTTCAAGCGAAAAGTGAGAGGCCCGAGTACCTAAAGCAACAGCGCTGACCGATGTTAGAGCTGGCTGTAATGAGATAATACATTCCTGCCTCGTTCCGTGACATGCTTTGCATGCCAAGACAGTTCCTGTTAAAGAAATTTAGAGTCAATTTTCTCATTTCTTTGTTTCTCTATTAAGAGACACCCCTGCATGCAGTGCCAGACATGACGCGTGGCCTCAAAGCTGGTCGCCGCAAGTGATGTAATAAAATAGTGAGGATGCATTGCGCGACACCATGCTACAGCATTTCCACTATTCTAGCCTGCGAAAAGGCCACGATTGTGCGTACAGCGAGACGCAATGCCTCACCACAAATGCCTAGAGCACACAAACACATGAAGGTTTCTGCGAAGAGTGCCCCGTCCTGCCACCGGCGTCAGTGACACTTAGCACCAATAGCCAACGGCACAGGTGGGCGCTGCATGCCTCTTTACAGCGATCAGCAGCGCAGCTGATGAGAGCTGAGCACCAGATATGCAAATGGGTTTATTCACAGATGTGTCTGAGATGGAACTGATGAGACGAGAACGGCGATAGAGGAGCACTTGCGCAATAGTACGAGAAACAGGAGTTAAATACAACAAAGGAGTGAAGCTGAGCAGGACTGTACATTACTCTGCCTGTCATCAGCAATAGGACTGCTCATCAGTGAAATTCACTTAATTACATTCACTTTCATGTCTACATTGTAATGCCTATTCATGAACTGAGGCATTATAGTAACGGGTGCAATAAATACAAAGAATGTAGAAAGAACAACGCTTGATCCAATGCATTTTTGTGTATACTGGATAACAAGTTCTACTTGGCAACGATTTTCTGTGCAGTACTATTATTTTGGATCACCTGCAAATATTTAAGGGAATAAAGCACAGGTCTAACCAGCTTCACAATGAATTGAAAAACCAATGGAAATATTGAGTGGGGAATAATGTGCTGCTTGGGCCACAAGACCGGTTACCAGGATATTTTATTTACTGTGACCACAACTGTCCCGACTAGCTTGGGCATGCATACTAAGCCAAAATGTTTTCAAAACAGCTCGTTAGTAGTTCGCATTCTAGACAGCCTTTCTATGCCATCTTGAATATATTTGATTGATTGCCTCAATTTTTATATCAAGCAATTATGCAATCATTTTGCCACCTAATTACTGAAACGGCAATTTTGTTGAGCTCCCATGGCAAATTGCACACACTGTCAAATAATGTTACGACAGAAACAAGACATCATGGAAGAGGTGTGCTTCAATGTCTGATCAAAAGGTATACTCATCTCCGAGACCTGTTTGATGAAATGCAATGATGTGATGACAACAATGCAGTAGGCCAAGGCGCTGGTCATGAATACGCGATTTAGAACAGCGCAGTTATCACTTACGATTGACGGAAGAAGTGAAGGTACACCCAAAGGCCTCAAAGGTTAAGGTAAAGCATAACGATTGGAGATGGACCTGTTCATAAACACTTGCACCTAAGTACACCGAGTGTTCAAACATTCCACATTTACTGGAAAATAGCTATTGTGTCAAGAATAAATCCAACAAATTTGAGGTCGGTCGCTCTTGCTTGTCCCAGGACAGCTCGTGCACTAAAGCTATCGTTTGAAATGACCCTTCACGATCGCAGAAGCCTTCATTCTACAAAAGCCGTACCTTTCAAAAAAGAAAAAAGAAATCTTGCACCTGCTGAACGATGACAAAATCTAGCCGCAGTGAAAATTTTCCAAGTTCACACAAAGAGATAGGCATTTGCCCTGCAAGAGTGCAGAAAGCTTCCCCTTTGAAATCTGAAGAGGTCTACACTGTACAATCCGAAAGGATCGCTGGAAAATGCACTGAAGCAAAACATATTGCACAGTCACAATGAACATCGCGCAAAATCCAAACTATGCCAAAAACGGAAAACATGCTACAGACCATTCAGAAGCTTCGTGCCTGTACATAATTCTTGTGAAATTAAAAAAAAATAAAAAAATAGAGAGAACAGGGAAGAGAACTTTTTTACAATTTGCAACAGCTTGTGACATTACACAGACAGCATGGAATAAAATAAAAACAAACTCTGCAAAATGAAAAACAAGAAAGGACATATGCCGTGCTTTTATTTGGCACAACTAAAGAGATGCTCTTGTACTGGGCAAGCCACAAGAATGACTGCCAAGTTATGCTTGTTCTTTGCCGGAACGTTAAAGCCTACGCCACATGGTGCACACTTTGAACAAACTGTCAGCCGCAGTGCACAGGCTTGAAGACGATTCAGCAACTACCGGGTTTGCCTCCAGAAATGCAAAATGCTGCATCACAAGACATTGGCAGGCGCAGACTCCTGAACAAAACAGGCGAACAAAAGCCTCCTTTTACACCTACTCACACGTGCTTGAGATGAGCTCACCAGGCTGGTTTATGAGGGTGAATGACTATGACAATGAGCAGGCACGAGCCCTCGATGCGATTCGTCCTTCCGCTCACCTCACGGAAACGTCCTTGTCCCTGAATAAGCTACAATAGTAACGAAAAATGCTTCGCATCTATTCCCACACTACAGCTCGCGGCTGTTCCTTCCGAAAGTCTTTGCTGTCCTGAGAGACAAGCCTGCAACGGTAAAAAGCACTCCCGCTCATGACTAGAGTGTCAGATATAAAGAAACCACCCCGCTATTTTTGTTTTCCCCTGAGAGGGTTACCAGACTGTCGCAAAGGGGGGACAATATATGACAGGTGTAAAAACAAGAGAGAGAGAAGTGATAATCCAACACAGCAAGTTACAGACCCGCCCAAGACATCTCGACGGCTGCGGCCACATAACAAGAAACCCCTTCGCACAGAGCAGCCGCGAAATATGCAAGCTGCCAGCAGCGGCACTGTATCTGCGTTAGAAACAGCATACCTTCCTATAGGCCCTCACGTGAGTCACACCGAGCAGTCAACGCGCTCTGGCTTGACGCCGGGCACAAAGCTGACAGAAGTCCTCGAATTGATGGGGTCGGCTGTATTGGGCAGCACAACATACGGTGCCGATGTTGCCGGAGGTAGTGCACTATTGTCCACATTCGTCTCGTTGTCTCTGGGTGCGGAACGCCCCCAGTGAACGGCAGCCCCGTGCGTCACGTAGGGAGTCACACTTTGTGTTTCACTTGGAGACTCGCACGGCAGGCGCATGTAGCCATTGGATGCAATCTGTGGCTCCCTGGTCAGATCTAGAGGGGGTGGCTTTGTTGCAGGGTCAACAGACACAGGTGTCTGTTCCGACGTGTTCAGTGGCGACTGGCAGGTTTCCGCAAGTTCGTCCGCACCAGGCCCAGAGGCACTTGAAAATGAAAAGTCCTCGAGCGAAGCATTGTTACTATTGTCGTCACCAACTATGGCCATGTCATCTGAAGAGGAGTCCGGGTCGCGGATGTGGTTGTCGCGGGGATCGGGTTCTTCGGCAGGCACGGTTTTAGTAGCTGGGAGGGCAGCTTGGCGTACATTGACTACGGCCTGAAGCGGCACGTAGGCCGCCACGTTCGGCCTGGTAAGTGGCTTCGAAGGCTGGATGCCAAACTTGGAGTAGGCTGGGCCCGACTGTGGCTCGGTCATGGGCGGCTGGGTCTTCATGGCTTGCCCCACAGTTACATATGCGCTTGGTTGCGGCTTTGAAAACAACGGCATGGGCTCGTTCTTGAGGTTCGGCATTAGCCTGGGCTGTTCCAGCGCAAGCCCGACAGTGACGTCTGCGTTTGGAAACACATTATTTGGCAAGCCATTTACGCCTGGCTGTTGCCGAAGTGCAAGCTGGGAGTAGGGAAGTGCCGGGGGCCCATCCAGCCTCCTCGTGGCCGGAGACAGTCTGCACATGGTGTAAGGTGCGGTGGACACGTCCTCACTGCTTCTTGCCAAACCAAACTTGCTGTACGGTGGGAGGGGCTCGATGGGTTCTGGAACGTTCTCTGTTCCATCAAATAGCGATGGCTCGCTCGTAGCCAGGGCCTGACTGTGAAGCAGTGGTGCCTGCACGTCTGGGGTCACCACGAGTTTGCTGTAGGACGGTTGCGATGAGTCTGACGAGGGAACCACGATAGGGGGCGTCACTTCGGTGTCGAGCCCAGAGTCTTGACTCTCCCGGACCCTGTCTTCGTCGAGCTTGGGAAGATTGGGCCGGCAACGAGCGAGCGGGGTGTGGTTTCCGGCGAGGAGTAGACAGTCGGGGGAAGGGGGTGCTGCGGGGTCACTCTCGGCGCCGGAGTCGCACGATGAATTGGCGCCCGTGCGCGCCGTGCTGGTGGACACAACACTGTCCTGGCCATTAGTGCTGCCACCGCTGCTGTCACCACTGGGGTTGCGGCCGAAGGTGTCTGCACGCCGTGTCTTCTTGTACAGCAACTGAAATGGTTGGCAGGGAACTCGTAAAAAGCGCAGGTATAAACTGATGCCATAACCCCCTGTGATTTGTCACAATGCCTAGCACAAAGATATCGGAAATAATTCCAGAGCTTCTCGAACTCCTTAACTTGGTAGCTCCAAATAGGCATGGTCAAAAAAGGAATGCTCTCACTGACTGAGTAACCATGAAATTTTCCCCAACTATCGTTTTTCTGATTTTTTGCAAATTTTAGCATGGCATGCCGGAATCTGAGAAAAACTTGTTACAGTAAACCCATAGTCTTTTCATGACAACTGCAAACCACTAAGCTGGAAAATTCAATGTTAAATAACAATTAGGAATGCAAAAAAATGGGGACACATTATAAGCAGGGAAGACAAACTAGGCTGAAAATTATCAGTGATAAAATAAGCAAAATTTAGAAATTGCCATATAGGGCCCATTTAACCCTCTACATTATGTAGGGCTCGATAACACTCTATAATATGTTTTGAAACTTTAAACAAATATCAATCAGGGTGCAGGTAATTTGCACACTCAACCTTGAAGTGTGGCTTGACAGGAGAGTAGATTTCCCTGACAGACATTTTCACAACACAGTGGCCCCACACCACAATATTATATTGAGTTTTCAGGCAAGTTATATGCAAAAAATGCATCCATCAATTTGTTGTTTCAAATACTTCAAAATTTTTTTGGAAATTATCACATTTGTACTGAAACAAATTAAAGTTCTGTGTGATATTTGTTTATGTATAATATCTTCACTATTGTATTTTTGCTTAAACTCTGTCATATTTAGTGTGTTGGTTTTTTTTTTTTTTTCAGTATAGTTCTCTCAGTAAATATTTGTCACTTATTATGATATTTTCACTAGAACTTTCATTTTTTTTTCTTATTGGACCCATCACTAGCTGCTTAGGCAATGGGAATAAATATTTGTTTCCGCATTTTTTCTGTTTTAGCACAATAAATTCTCCTTTGATTTCATTTATTTGCATTGAAATGCATTAAAATGCATTAAAACGTGTGAGTATCTGAAGCACTCCATTATTCAGGCACACCTATTGCTTACCTCTTCTGTCGAAGAGCTGCTGCCCTGAGAACGCCCAGAGTCGTGGCGTTTCTTAGGACCAGCGTTGTCAGCGGCAGAGAAGCAGCCCATCCGGCCGTAGGAGATGTGCGGACTCCGGTTGCTTTCACTCGTCTTCCCAGCAGAACCATTCTTGGCGTTTTTGAAGCTGTGCATCTGATTCTGCAACGCAAGCAAACGCAAAATGAACGTATGGTTGAATTCTGAATCAACGAATAGTCTCGCACCTATCGATGCCACTCTACACATTGCGTAGTTACGCAGCGCAAAGCTTCTATATACAGACAGAAGCGTGCTTTCGCGAGGCGTTCTTTGATTAGAACTCTCATCTCCGAAGTAAAAATATGGAAGGAAGGAATAGGTTTATTGTAAACAAATCTATGCACACCAAAAAACACGCAGTAAACAAAAATATCAACGAAACTGCATCTTTAATGAGACAAATGCCTCTTAATGTGACTGGTTCTCTACTTTCACTCTGTACCCCTTGCATTCTGTACCTCTAAATAACTGGCCTCATCAAAACAAAATGACTTTACACACAAAGTAGTCATGAAGACCTGGGAGTGATGTGGAAAAAGACTACTCCAAAATAGATTTACGCAATAATTAAAGCACGAGTATATTCTGTGCTGTAACATGAATGTCATGCCAGGGATGAAGCTTATTTTACTCCCAAGATAGTCATTTTTGTTGTCCATCTAACTTGGTCAACAGCTGCAGAGCCATTCACTAGCGGAAGTTGATCACCGACAAATTCACGTTGGTATCGCACAGTTTCAACCCGCATTCATCACGGGAATCCTAGACAACAATGTTTTGTGAGAGTCTCGGTGAAAAAAATTCATGCGACCAACACATCAGCAGACGGAAATAGTGCAAACTCACTGCATCTGAAGAATCCAAGCCATCGGGAAGTTGAATCTTGAATTCTTTCAGGTCGTCCACGTTATTCTTGACCCTAGAGACGATATAAGGGAAGATAATTAGTGCCAACGCTCTGCCTTTAGCTACGCAAGGCCGAACTTCAGAACCTAGAGTACCATTTTTCGATCTTTCTGTAAGCAACTTTTTTTTTTCAGTCTCCTATTAGTTTTTTCTTTTTTACGTCACATTCACCAAAAACTGTGTGCACCACTCATGAGAGCACAGGCTGGCATTCGATAACATGACATTTCTTCCGCAATTTTACTTCTTGTCGCCTTCATCAAAACGGTGACCTCTAGCTGTGACTTCATGGTGATCTTGTTTACTTACTTACTTAACTAATTATTGTTTTATTCTGAACACTCTCGGTAGATTTATGGAGGAAAGTGGTTTACAAGCAAAAAGCAATTAAGGTACTGAAAAAACCATAAGACGGTGGCAATAATATACAATTTTCACTTAACAGGAACCTTATAATCAAAACAATAATAGAAACAAAAAGATAGCAAGGCACTAAACAACAGATAATTAGCGATATAAGAGTGTTGCAAGACTAAAGCACATATATCAATTTACATTATGACTATAGCGTGTGAAACTATTCATACATCCTCTAGTAACACTTTTGGATGCAGCAAACATACAGGATTGGTTTCTTTTCGATCATAGTGACTCTTCTGGCGACTCATATTGCTGAATACCCCTTTTGAATTCATGAACATCGAGGGGCCAACTGAACTAAACGCGACAAAGGATTTACACGAAGTAAAGACTGGAAGTAGTTGACACTTCCCGAGGCTTTTCAATGTCACTTTCGCCGCAGCGCACTGCTGCCATGTGGAAAATCATCCCGAGAATAGGAAGGGGCTACGAGCTGTCATGGGACAACAGATTTTGTATATTTATTACACAAGCACGCATGTACCGAACAATGGCTAGCACCAGTAAGATCGCTGACAAACATTACTGCCAATCATGCAGAACTGTCCATGACGCTGCTGCTGAACTGAGAAATGATAAACAGCACATTATGAGAACTACTGAGAATAAAAATTTTAAGTCCTGAGGTCCCCTCGAGCTTGAGTAATGGAGTCTAGTGCCCATAAAAGTAAGCGTACAGGAAACAAAAAAAAAAGGGGGGGAAATACGTATCAAGAAATTACAGTCTGCGGGTGTGCAAAGCTACCCAGGAATGCCATTTTTATAAATTCGCATTGCTCTTTTCAACCGTGCGATTTTCTACTGACTGAACTCAATAAAGTGAACCAGGCTGCATATCTCACCATCGTGCCAACATGTAGATTCCGCAGACGACGATACACATGACGATGGTTCCACCCACGGCACATCCGACGATGAGACCGACGTCCACCCCTGCAGTGACGGATGAGACCGGTCAAATGTGGCCACGAGCGACAGAATGCGACAGAAAAAAGCATTCTTGCTACAATAATACGAACGAACATAGAGTGCAAAAATGTACCACCAAAAAGCCCGAAGCCGTGCAGAACCACTTGCCAAGCTTCACGCAGTGCATAACTCAAAAGCTAGCCTCGACCTGCCCTTACTTGACCGTTCATATCACTCCAGAGTCCACCAGCATTTCTCACATAATGAAAGCCTTATCACATTTAAAAAGTTCTGATTTGAGCAAGATACACTGCAAAATCTTAGCATTCCTTTCTACTAAATTACCTTGGCTTCAAGTGCTTGTACATCTCTACAAGGCAGTATTACAAACTTGTCAGGTCCTTTTGTAGCTTCTTTGTGCCTGTATATATGCATACCGCGGTGACTTGTTTAGGCAAGTTGCACCGTTTTAAAGAACACTGTAACCTGCACACTGCGATGTCGTTGACTTCAGAGTCATAGGTCTACTAGCAGCGGAAAAAACCAAACTCAAGGTTCCATTTTTGAACTCATCGCTGAAATCTCAACGCACAGTGTCACCTTAGATTCTGTGTAGCTTTCTCCAAGTACTTCATTTATTGTATGATTCTTTTTTTTTTTTCTCGTGACTTACCCCTTTTCTACAAAGGGCTATTTATGATATTTGTAAGTTCTTTTTTTCTTGCTCGTACCCTTTTCAATGCTGGAGAGATAAATAAGTAAATGTATGGTCTTTATATATGCCCTTGTGTTCCGTGCTGCCTTGCTGTTGGAGCAATGTATGGATTTATTTTTACCTATTGTCACACCAATTAATAATGAACATCTAATTAATATGATAACCAAATGTGTAACAGAAAAACAATTATATTGTTGAGATTGGCAGAATAATACATACACCCGCACACTTATATTGCATTTTGTTAAAGATAGCTCCAGGTACCATGCCCCACCTTAAAGAAAAGAGAACAGGCCAATGCGGGCAGAGTTGGTGCTGTGGACATTTGTAATGCTTTTCCACCTCATCTGTACATTATCATGATCAGTTTGTCACTGTCCTCATTGTCACTGGTTCTCATCACTAAATTTAGGTGTGCGCGCACTCTGCTTTGGACTACCGGTTCGTTGCCGAGACCTGCTGTCTAATAAACCTTGTCTGAACCAAGATGTCAGACGTGGCGAAGGTGTAAAATGGAGATATGTGTGCGTGCGTGCGTGTGTGTGCGCGACGTGTTGTAATGCCTCTCTCTCACACAAACACTTTAGATCGTTTTCGTGTTCCAAGAAAAAGTTACAGGTTCCATCCACAGCAGTCTGGAAAAGTCTATGCGTTCCCCAAGGGCAGATATTTTCAGAACTTCCAATTTCCATTCTCTCCAGCCTTTCTTCTGTGATTTCGCTTTAAAGTACCCGACACATCTTGAGAGATATATGCACAGTGGAATGGAAGTGGCAAGCAAGCAAACAAGCAACTCTTGAGCAGCAATCATTCTCAAAATTACAGTCTGCCAATCAAATAATTGTCAACGATTACTCGATTCACAAACTTCATTAATCAAATTTGTTTCACACCCAAAATTTTGATATTCGCAGAGCTCTAATGACTATGAAACTATATTGTGATCATCCCCACATGCGAATGCATGTGCAGGCTCAATCGAGTTATTGTTCCCGAACTTTCCCAACTTCGGCCCGATGAGCCCCGCGCTGTTTCACTACAGAAGGCGGTTTTACGTAATCTTGTCGCCGCTTTCATGAGGCGTTGTTCAAGATATTAAAGAAAATTTCAAGGCAAACTAACTGTTCCAGGACTTTCAAAGAGCATTGAAGACATATTTCGTCCATTTCAAAAACTTTTGAAGGACTCGTACGTACCCAGTTCTGTCCTGGCACACTGCGCCGGACTGTCTTCAGTCAGCTTTCCATTGGAAGAGGCCCTTATTACGGCCCGGTACACTGCCTTGGTTGACAGCCCTCGCAGTTCGGCCTCCTCAGCATCCCGGTCCGAAACGTTGTACACCTTGCAAGTCTTCGGATCATACTTGCTGTACATACATGCTGAGACAATGAAAGAAAAGAAAATATGCAAATTATTGAAACCTACGCCAGTCTAAAACAAAGGCAAAAAAAAAACAAACTGGCCACACATCTGCATGCTTCGTTGCAAATGTCGAAAGATCACAATCTTCTGTCGGCTGTGCTAAACGAGTACTGCCGATTTACTCGCATAATCCTCGCACTTCATTTGGCGGAAAACCGATGCAAGGTTGGTGGGTGCGAGAATCACACGGGGAAAACTTTCCACGAAAAGCGAAAAATAAACGAAAGTGGCCGAGCAAGCTTTGAGAAGTACTATTTAAAATATACCTCAACAATAAAAGCACAGGTTCAACACAAGGCAAAATTTATTTGAAACACAAAAAGTGCAAGCAAATAGTCGAGAATTTGAATACCATACGCAAAGTTTGTGGCCGTTGCGGGCTTAGTGGTAGCGTTCGTCACTCAACAGGAGCCCTCATAAGGTAAGCCTAGGACGTCAGTACTGTGCTGATGGCTATTTAACAGAATCGTCTGCAGTTTCCTTCTGAACAAATAAACTTTACCATCAATCCGTTTTAGGCCCACGGCAGAGCAACGCGTCTCAGTGGCTTTCAGCTGCTGTCACCAGTAGCAAAGCAAAACTCATAGACTCTGAAGGGCCTACTGGCAGCCCTATTGTTTAGTGCATGATCTATCACTTTCAACTTTAAAGCAGCCGTGTAGCTTCAGTATCGCCCCATATCGTGACAAGATTACCGACACAACATACAAAACACCCCGCAACGCGCACTTGCCACTTTGGCTTGGATTGGATTGAATCTCCGTGAAATAATAGTACGCTTGATGCTTAAGAGATGGCGCCAGATAGTGTGCGCTATCATCAGTGGCTGAAACTAGCAGACGACACTATTACGGCAGTTTTCATTGGTGCGATAATTACTCGAGGAAAAAGAAAAATCGTATTTTTGTTGGGCGGTGTAGGGGGCGCGAGAATTATGCGAGTGTGAGGATTACACGAGTAAATACGGTACTCACGTATTGATTTTGTCCGATATATGCATAACATTTGCTTTTTCATTGACAATGTTCGCAAGTATAAATGCAGCCACCACTTCAAGATGGCTGGGCGTTCAGCAAGTGCTTAAAATTTGGCCAGGTGGCTGAATCGTGTGTCAGACACAAAGACGGACCAAAATTTCCATGCTAGGTACCCCAAGAAACACAATCGTCATTAAAAAAAGAAAAGTACAGTGCATGAAAGCTTTAAGCACTATCCATTAACAAAAGTTCCATTTATCAAGAGATGAACAAGGGCGCCGAATTTCAGGAGCAAGCCAATCACATAATACAGTGCAGTCCACTTATAACGATACCACATATAACGATATATCGGTTATAACGATGGGTCGACTTAACAGTCTCATTTTATGCATTGGGGCTATGGGGAAAAAAACCATATATAACGATATGTTATCCACCGCATATCGGATACAACGATGAAAAGTTTGCCGTGGACGGCATGTTTCATTCAGAATAATCGTAACATTTAGATTGATAAGTTCTTCTGAAACGAACTATGCCGAGACAAGACGAAAAGTTAGCGTAGGCGAGTACGTATCTGCCGCCACTGCAGGACAGCGCCGGCAGCGCGTCCCGGCCGTTCAAAAAGCCGAGGAGAGCATCGCGAGTTGGCGCGACGCGCTACAGATGGCGCCAGCTGTGTCACGTTTTGCGCCTCGCCGCGCGTCGACCGCGGAGAGGCTGAGAGAATTTAAAAAAAAAAAATGCGAAAAGCAAAGCGCCGCGCTCCGCGGCTCCCCGCCTTCTACAACGGCAAGCCGGCAAGCTACTCGTAGCTTGCCGAACGAAGGCAGGAAAGAGAGAGAAAATAAAAAAAAGCGAAAAGCAAAGCGGCGCGGCGGCATGGGGGCGGGGCCTCGTTGGCATTCCGGCTGTGTACCTCTGGCTGTGCTTTCTTCCTCCCACTGCTCCCACCCCGCCGTCGGTCAGTCTCTCTTCCTCAGCGAACCCGTGATGCGTTCTTCGGAGTAAGAAATAAAGTCTTGTTTTTGACATCCTACTATCTACAATATTTATTAATTGGTGAAAATAGCAAAATGAAGCCTGGAGCTACAAAAGGTACGTCCGGCGACGATTTTTTGGCGGCAGTCCAGATATAACGATCACCGGTTATAACGATCATATTTTTAGGTTTTCTCGATATCGTTATAAGTGGACTGCACTGTAGACAGTTGTTCAATTTGAGCAGCTATTTTAACACATTTCTATGTTACCTGAGAATACTATGAAAATATCGAGCTTTCTTGCCTTCGGCTCGTGCTGGCAAGTGCCTGAAAAGGGGTCTCACCTGTCGCGTCGTGTAGTGCCATCTTTTGGTACTTTGGCAACACCTCACAAACTTCGATCTGGTAGCCGCTCACATAAGACTTCAGCGAGCTGCACTCAAGTTGCCAGTGCATCAATAGGGAATGGCCACCGTTCTTCTCCAGCGTCACTTGCGTGATCTTCTCCAATTCTGTAGCAAAATTGTGGAGTGGAAAACGTCAAGCCCTTGTCGGGAATAAGAGACGCCAGCGTGAAAGAGCATTACGACATCAATAAGTATGTAAGATCTTGTCTTTCCTGATGCAGCATATCAGCTGGTGATGATGACTATTACAGTCGCAGAGACGCACAATTAGCGGGAATGTCAATTACTAATGCTCTATTCAACTTTCCTCTGATTGCAAGTTTCTTACTCTCCCTATTGTTTCAACTCTATGCTTTAAATGGTACCCCACAACTCTCATTTTCAAAATAATCCCACTGGCCTGTTATACTATCTATACACCTTTCAAAGCATTATGTGACTGGCCAAATTCTATCTTCATCTTTACCTCTAATCAGATATCACCCACCCACAGGTAACCCACATGTAACCTTATCTATCCATTCTATATCTATCCATACAATGACCAAAATGACATTAAAATTATTTGTGTAGGCACCCGCATCTCTTTCAATATGTTTGAACTCAACCAAACAACTTCGATCATACATCCACATGAATACAACCTGACACAAAAGCCCGGAAGTTTTACCAAGCTCATAAAACAGTCATAACAATAGTAATGATAATAAAAAACCAGTACAAAATTTGCTGGTGCTTTACTCATGTCAACCGACAATATCTATGGTGCTTCACTCACCTTTCGACACTGGAAGGACGCACGTCGTCCAGTGACTCTCCGAGGCCTTGTCAACAGTCTGCGCCGCAACTGCAAACTGGTACACGTTGCCTGGGTCGAGGCTCAGCACTATGGAAGATGCATTGATCTCCGTCTTGCGCCACTCGACGGATTCGTTGCAACTGTAAGAGCGCGGCAGCATCCGTGGGCACCAGAACACTGTGTAGCTCATGGGTCCCAGCGGTTCCAAGCTGGCCGCCTGCTCTTCAGTTGACATTGAAGATGAGGAGGCCTGGTAGGGCACGCGGGCGGACGGTGCGTGCCACGAAACCACGTAACTACCGGATCCGTGGGCGACGACCTCTATGTCCCGAGGTGCGTTTATCACTGGAAAAGACAAGGCAATGTAATGTTGCGAGATGCGGTGCAACCCGTTTTCACCAGGAGAACAGCCTAGCAGTTGCCGAATCACTGGAAGGCTACGCTGCCAGGGTTAAAAACTAGTGCACTAAACGTAATAGTGCTGCTGAGCACCGGCGAATACCGGTAGAAACAATGCAAGGGTGGCACAGCCCGAAATCATCACTTGCTTATCAATAACACGAAAGCAAGCCAGTCCCTTTCCATATAAAAAAACTAATGGCGTCTACATCGAACCGGAGTGCCCTGGTGCGTAGTTTCGACCATTCATCGCAGCGCCTGGGCGCACCAGCGTGATTGAACGGTAATGACACAAGAAAACAAGAAATGTTTATCCATTTCTTTGTGTTTTTTTCTTGGAGCAAGCCAGTATTCCATACCAAACAGATATTCTATGCTTGCACTATCATGTACAGTATGCACTGCTTGTTTATAGTTTTTCAGTTGGTCAATGCGTAATGATGAAAGATACTTTCAAGGCTCAAGAGGATGCAACATCAACGTAGACTTATGCAGGCACAGTGGATAAAAAAAGCGGCAAGCAAACGAGCGATTCTCGAGCAGCGATTGCCACTCTCAAAGATGAACATTCAACTCGTCTTATTGCTGACAGATGGTAGAATGTTACAACAAAATAAACACAAAGAATGATACCTCACTCTGTATCAAGAAAGAAATGCATGCTGGAGATTCTACCGTACAAGTTATGGAAACCGTAATCCAGTCTGGCTTCTTTTCAAACATCAGGCCCGTGAAGGGGTCCTGCAACACTGACCATGGGCATAAAATGCTTCCCTGACTACAAAATGTAGTCGGGGTTCTTGAGGACATGCGAGAGCAAAGCATTTGAAAAAAAAAAGGGGGGGGGGGGGGGGGGGAGTCGAAGGAAGTTCTCAAGGTCACGAGGCGCGCGTGACATATTTTCTTTGCCCATGCCATCCTTCCCTGCTTAGCTTCCAGCACTTTTGTTGGGACGAGAGAAGAGAGAATGCAGTTGCAGCGGGCGACAAATCTTCAGAAGTTCGTTTGCACTGGACGGTTTCTTGAAACTTTTGCCGCATTGAATTTGTGAGGCAATATCTCATTTAGTGAATCCATTTCATGGTTACTTAAAAAAGTGTTTCGGGGCCCCTTTAAAGGGACAGTGAAGCAAAATAATGAATTGGTTAAGATTGATAAATTTCAACCTGAAAACTTGAATGCACTATTTTAACATTAATGGGTTAAATTATAGAAGCGAAAGTCAAGGCCAAAGTTAATTTCAGATTTCACGTCAAAATCTCCCCACGTAATGCAATGAAGTTCACAGTGCACTTTTCGTATTTTGACGACACTGGACCAACAAAATATTTTCTTAAACTTGATGTATTCTCTCCGTGGCCCTCTCAAAGAACAATTTGTACTGATACGAAACGACGTCGGCCTCCGTAGGTGCTGTCGAAATCTATGACATTGCAATTGGCGCGGAAACTTCGAAGTGGCACTGCCACCCGCATTTTTTTTTTATTCGAATTTTTCCGCCCCGAAGTGTTTTCTGGTAAGCGAAGTGTTTTTGGTATTATGAAAAAGTAAGTTGCTGATACAGCTGAATCTCTTCATAAGAGACACGCACATGGGAGTAGTTTTTGTTTCTCACACGAGGTGTTTCTTATAAGCTGAGCACCACACTCATCTTAACCCGTATTTTAATGTAGGGACACCGGTGTCTCTTATGCCAATTTGTCTCTTACATCAGTGTCTCAACCAAGGGAATGACTGCGTGAAAAAAAAAAAAAAAATCTATTCCCCTTTTTAGTATTCCTCCACATCCTTGGGCAGGTGTTAAGCATCACGCATAACACAAGTACAAGTAAGATATACTTACTTTCATCGTACTTGTCCACTTGAAGGCTGGAGTGAACGCGAGAGGGCCCTATCTCGTTCACCGACCACAGCTGGAAGTTGTAGCGCGAGTTACGGTGCAGGTCTTCAAACGCGGCGGTGGGCATCTCGACAGTCTTGTTCTCACAGTTGTCCTCGGGTGCGTCCTCCTCACAGCAGGTGATGAGGTACTGGAGCGTGGCCCCGCCCCACCTCTTTTCGGGGAGAGCCTGCGTTCGTATCGTGAACCATACAGTAATGAGGAAATACTCATCCACACTCAAGAAGCGAGCTGGCAGACAGGGTTTATAAAAACCGGCAAACGGAACACAGCATCACAGGTTCCGGCTTGCCGTTAATCCGCACGATACTTTCGAATGAAATGTGCCACTGAAGGCCGAGTTATGCGGGCCCGAATGGATCCATTTGAAACCATAAAGCTACGATGCATTCCCAATGTCAGCTTTGGCCGGTGCTTTCAATAACAAAACTTAAGCTTTTATGCTTAGTGTGACCGTTATGTCTCGTTTGCAGAGAAAATGAATAGATTTAAGTGCCATTCCAGCAAAGTTGCGAATGACAAGAAAATAACTTCCCATTATTTATATCCCAAAGAGAGTTATAAGCTTATATTTGTATTACCGGATCTATGACAACACAATGGTTAATTAACTTTGTCATGAACGATAATATGTAATACTATCCATATTATCAGGTCCGAGCACAGCACCATTTGATTGGTTTCTTGTTTTCAAAAGGTGTCCTTTGTTGTTATTTGAATTTAGCTATTCCAAGATGCATTGGTATAGTTTGCATTGGCGTCATTGTGGCCATCATCTTAGGGTACCAGCTACAACGCAGCGCGGAGAATGAGAATGTGCCATCAGATTAGTGCCAGTGCCCCCTTAAGTTTCTTTGTGCTCCCCCCTTGGCGACACAGGCAAGTAGAAGAACCCGGGGAGAGCACAAAAAAATGCGGCAGCCGAAGGACTGCGTACTCCCCCGCCCGACACTCTCCAATGAGACAAAAAGAGAGAGAGGTCAGATCTGCCACCATCTTGAGGTGCACAGAAGCCATCTGTGACGTCACATGAAAACTCCTGATAGGAACAGCTGCAGCTGGAATTACGTTTCCATGTAAAGGAGACCATGTATCGCACGCAAATACCATTGCGCAATTTTCTATCACCGCAAGACTCGAGAGAACGTGACACGAAAGCACCCAGTGCCAAATGTGTCAACGCACAAGAGAGTCGCACTCACCGCAAAGTTGAGCACGACGGTACGCCGGCTCTGATAATTCTGCACCTTGAAGCCGCTCCTCGATATTCGAGGCGGCCCTTCAGGCACGTCCTTCAGTGTTGTCTGTGAAAGCACCACGTCGTCGGTCCAGAAGTATTCCTGCACCGCCTCGGACGCCTTCCCACGAAGTCGAAAGGTGTACGCAGTGTACGGGTTCAGGTTCTGTATCATGTGCGAGGTCTTGTTGAACACCTCCACAGTCTGGCGAAAGAAGGAACCAAAGGGCAAGAGGACACTCCGTCAGACAACTAAGACAATTTGAGAATCAAGGCAAGTGCAACAAAACACACCCTGACCTCAACATAACGAAACCAGAAATAATGAAATATCTGTTACAAAGAAGTAAATTAATAATAGCAACTTTTTATAATGACGTTTCAGAGTAGTGAATTCACTGACGATGATTGATTTTGATTTGTGGGGTTTAACGTCCCAAAACCACCATATGATTATGAGAGACGCCGTAGTGGAGGGCTCCGGAAATTTTGACCACCTGGTGTTCTTTAACGTGCACGCAAATCTGAGCACACGGGCCTACGACATTTCCGCCTCCATCGGAAATGCAGCCGCCGCAGCCGGAATTTGAACCCACGACCTTCGAGTCAGCAGCCGAGTACCTTAGCCACTAGACCACTGCGGCGGGGCGTTAATTCGCTGACATTTTTCATGACTGACCAAGGGGAAAAATACAGTTTACAGGGTATAACTAAGATAGTGCACAGCATTGCTAACACTTAGCAGAACAAAACACAGAACACTGAACAATGCATCAACTCGGGCTGGCTAGTAACCCACAAGGTAGTTTTACGCTTTAGATTTTGCGTCCTTGTTCTAGATTTTAAAATTAGACGCTTTAGATTTTGCGACCAATTTACAGAAGACTGCCGCCTATTTAGAGCTGCGCATAAAAAGGTCCTCATTAGCTAGAGATGCAAAAAACTGAAACATCCTGATATTTCTTTCTTCTCTTGATTGCTGTGGAGGTTAACTGAAAAAATGTAACGCAAGCATAACTGGTACAGCATGTAAGTAACGTAGAATATCATTTCCGATTCATGGATGATCACCAAGAAAAGTGTGTTTCCAAAGGCGAATTTTTTTTCAACAGGACACAAAAAAGGTTATATTAAATTAGATTAACAACATGAGGTACATAGTGTTAAAGAAAACTGCATTCCGCTGGTCTCTAAAAGGCTTATACATACAGTCAACACCCAATTTCCAGGATGCCCGAAATTCTGGTTATGCCAATTTTCTGGACATACCGTATTTACACGATTGTAAGACGACTCGAATGTAAGACGACCCCCCCAAAATCGCATCTCAAAAAAAAAAAAAAAAAAAAAAAAAAAAAAAAAAAAAAAAAAAAAACTCACGTAGGCCGCAAGCTTCGCCTCTAGTTCCGGAAAGCGGCCAGACTTCGGCCCGCGAAAGCCACGGCGCTTGGAGTCGCACGAGAAAATTTCCTCGCGCTGAAGCCGCCACTTCCGCACCACACATTCACAGATTCCGAACTTTCGTCCTCATGTCATGGCACTCATGTCAGACAGAAGTGACTCGAGAGAGCCGGTCGTGGACACAAGCGACAGGAGCACGCAGCGACGCGCCCGCTTAGAAAATTGTATCACAAAGAGGAGCTCTTCCGTCAACTACCAATACCCCCCCTACGGCGGCTCTTCCATCGATTACTGGTGCTCCCTCAAGAGCCGTGCGCTCGTCATAAAGGCACTCGTAATGCGCGCAGTAGATGCTAAAAAAAGAAAAGCTTTTGTATAAGCACGTGGAAAACTATGCGCTTTGGGTTGAGCAGGAAACTATTCGAGATGACAATACATATGGTTCGATTTCGATTCTAAGACGACCCCCCAACATTGGATTGTCAAATTTGAAAAAAAGGGTCGTCTTACAATCGTGTAAATACGGTATCTCCGGCACCGTCAAGTTCCCCAAACAGTCAGTGTATTAAAAAATCCGAAATTCGAGACACTTATAGCCTTCGACACCCAATTTCCCGGATTCTTTTACCGCTTACTGCAGATTAAGTCGCCATCAACAACGCCATTTCGTTATTTTGGTTTGCTGCAACCTACCATACTTGCATCCACGCGTGCATCGCGGCTGCCATGCCCTGGAAACTGCAATTGACACAATCTAGCGCACACTATTCACTGCCAGCTGTAGCTTAGTCAAAACTGTGGTCAATCCTCACTTTGTTCGTTCACGTGTCGTTCTGTCAGCACTGCGGTAAATGGTGTGCTGCTGCGTGCTATCTTCAGCGTTGGCCTATCCCGATCAGACACCACTGGGTTTCTAGCTGTTTGGCACTGCATGCACCTCGAGACAGTCGTTTCAGCCGGAGTGAACCGAGTGCGTGACAAAGTTGTCTGCGGACGTTGCCTTCAACGATCTGCAAGCTGCCGGCCTTTTGATTCCAGCCAGAATAACCTTTCAGGGCTTCGCCGATGCTGGCTAAGACCTCAAGCTGTGTGGGGAATGGACTGATGACAAAATCATTTAAGTTACAGGAGATTCCGACAACTCTGACACCGGGATCGAAGAAGTGGAGCTGGCACCGCCAACAAGCTCAGAGTGGACGCGAGCACTGATAACATTGTACAGCGGCAGCATGACCTCAGCTGAAATTGAGGCAGAGATCACCGCAGGCAAGTGGTACGCCGTGCAAAAGAAAATAAGGGACTTTTGGGCCAAGTTGATGACCAATTAGGTAGCACCGGCCACAGAGTTTTTTTTCTTTAGTCTTATTTTTTTTACATCAACGGCTCTTTTTGAGCCTTCTAAACAATGCAGGATTGCAACAAGGCTCTTGTACTCCTGCCTCGACCTTCTTCCTACGCGAAAAATACCTGTAAAAAGGGTACATTTTCCCATGCATTAGGTTTTCCGGACATTTTCGTAGCCCCTTGAGGGTCCGAGAAATCAGAACTGCACACTAGAATAAAAAACCATGGACAAACTTTTTCCGACATCAAGTTTCAATGCCAGTACTTACGCAAGCCTACATAAACATATAACTCTATATTCCTAAGATGCACTTATGAATGAGAGTATCTTGCCGACTAGCGAAGAAGGAAAAGGTCGAGGTCACTTAATACGTAAATGGTGCATTAAACAAATAAATTGGCACTGTGAGGAAGGCTGCATTTCTTCGAGGACCGGGCTAGTCTTCGACGTAGCCAGACCATTTCCAGCTGCTGTGGAAGTATGGAGGTTAGCAAGGGCTGTTTGAGAATGATAAACATTTAGCTGCTTCAAACAGCTCTTCCCGACGCCACTTTGATGGAGACAAACAACCATTGTTCTGCCCTGGGCGCCTGGACAAAGGGCAATAAAGACTAGGTAGCTGAAAAGGAAAAAAAAAAAGCCGCAACGGTAGAAAACAAGAAAAACACCATGTGCCTCTTCCAAGGCAGAAGGTGCGAGCTTTCTCCCACTAATTACACGCAGTACTGGGAAGGCCAGGTTTAACTCCTATTCGATGATATGCTGAATTACACAGCATGGGCTCGCAAGAAGGCATGAGCATCTCTGGCGCTTTTTCTAGACGGAGAATAGAAAGGTAGGTAGTACTTGTGCGCAAAAGTGAGGCTAGCAGTGCAATCTGTATTGCTTTGGAGGCTGACCTTTGAAAGATAGCGTCGAGTACGGCGAAAGAGAACTTCCAGGTTTTTATCTGCCTTTTGAGTGCACAATGTATCGAGCATTTAGCTTACCATTTAGCTTACCTTCTTGTAAGCGAGATATTCCAGCTGTGTTTCTTTACAGAGTTTACTTTATGTATTTTACATACAGTAGAACATCATTCATTTGAACTCTTATCTCGAAATCCCACTTGATTCGAAATATTTCTGCAGTCCCGTATTTCGCAGTGCAAGTCTGAGCGGATAAGTTCACGCAGCGGTCAGCACCAGTCTGGTCAATTCGAAAACATTGGGTGCCATGTGCCTGCAATTCCCAATCCCAATTTCGCCACAAATCCGCGGAAACGACGACCCTTAAGAGCCACTGGGCAATGTGCTGTAACAGTGCTTATAAATGGCAGCTGAAGCATCCCAGCCTCGCAATTTAAAGTGAAGAAAAAAAAAGAAACAGTCTTGTGGTCAACTGAAATTTGATCCCACAAAAGATATGCTTCACTGCAACACAGCACTGATGTGAGGGGCAACATGATGCATGCTTCTCGCTATGTCAGCGCGTCATGATTTACCCTTTCTTTCTGGCATTATGAAGAAATTAATAAAGACCAGTTTGGTGGAATTCGCGATGTATGCAAACCTACGATTGCCGGTTCCCCTAGCAATTTGCGGACTTGTACTATTGGCGGGTCCTTGCCAGAAACGCCTACTTCGAAAACTAAGTTCGAAAGCTTCTATGATGCTGTTTCCCAGCCATAACACATTGCGAATCTGGTCTCACTGGCCATTATAAAATTCTTTATTTTACCAGCAAGAAGGGGCGAATGGTCTTGTCATAACGTGCTGTCGCAGCCAGGAGCAGGTCATGTGCAGCCCGCGTGATACTGCTGTGTTGCAGTGAAACAGCTGCACATTTCAGCTGATCACTAGTGCCACCCCCCCCCTCCCCCCTAGCAGTGAGGTCTGCTGTTCCCGAGTCTTTGCGGCAAACCATGTATTGTTGACAAACATAACTCTTAGAGCTGCAAGCTCGCCGGCACAACAAATGACCAGACCTGGTTACTTCCAATAATTACAAGCTCCTTGCATCCCACTTTTTTATATGTTCTGTTAATTCGATAACCCGCGTAATTTCGAAGATCTCTCATGGCTCCAGTGACTTCGAATTAACGAGGTTTTACTGTAATTGTGTTCTCTGCAACATGGGACCCAAAACACAGTGAAGTGCATATCATAGATGGGTAGAGGCACTTTTTTGTTAATTGCAGAGGGAAACATAGGGGGCAGTGTTGCATCGCTTAAGCGCAGCATAGAGAGATGTGCTGGAGGAATTCACCTGTACCACGCCAGAGACTGCTCTGTGCTGAATCGGACGACAATCTGTCGTGGTTTAGGTTAGATTACAATTTTTTTTATAAATACCACGTGTTTGCAGGTGTTATTCAACATGTTTCATTTTTTTTTCAGTTGCACTGAAATTGTGTACTATTATATTTGGATACATGTTGAGCATGTGTATGCATGATGGTTTTAGCGTTACTGCTGCTATGTGAGGGTCTTCAGGCAGAGTCAAGTTGCATTGTGCACCTTTTGGCCTGAGAGACCACTCAACCATTTTGTTGGAAAATGATCATTTCCGATTCATAACTCCGTATTGCGAACGGAAATTCCAACACGTGCAGGGACATTTCAATGTGGTTCCACTTAGGGTTAGGACTTAGGGTTGGAAACAATAATTCATAGGGTGTGGGCGCATAAAACAACTTTTCATTACAGCTGGCTCGTTTGGTTCGGCAACGATTTTTAGTTTGCGAGAAATACATGTCTCAGGAACTTTCTGCTAGTCGGCTGTTTTTCGATACGTGCGAGTTTTTTGTCTCACACTGGGAAAATTCTTTTTTGCTGCTACCTTCTCAAAAGATTTCAGTTGATACGCTCATAAGTAGTGTCAAAAGAGAGGAAGCCGAGGGAAGCTACTACACTTGCGGTACGGAGCCTCTACTACGCAAGTCCTCTGGCAGACTCCTCAATACTTCTCTTTTCGTCGAGTCTTAAGTAGCAAGCTAAAGATAGTTTACCGAAAAAAAATAATGCTCGAATTAACAATGAATTATGGCGAGTGCATCCAGACACAATGGTAGCACCCCGGCATAACGAGAAAAAAAAAAGTTTACGTACCTTCCAGGAGGCCTCATACTGAGACTGGTAGTGGATCTGATAGACGATAAGCAGTTTTGGGTTCTCGGTCTGCTCAACGCTAGCGTTCCAGCTAAGCGTGATGCTCCTCTTCGATACCGCACTGCACTTGAACTCTGTTGGCTCGGAAATTTTCACTGCAAGCAATACAAGGCAGAATCAGGAAATAATGCTCAAGACAGAATGTTCCAAATATTATTCTCTAATACAGTATGTCTTACAAGAATCTCACTTCAAAAATATTCCAGCAGGTTCCCTCCTTGATACATGTGGTAGTGACTTTTATAGAAAACTGAGATGAGATTAGGATTATAAGAGATTATATGTCAGGTTCAACAAAAAAGACATTTTTTCGATATTCATGCATTTATTGCCAACTGAAATCGACAACGTATTTCAGATGAACATGATTACATGTATGCCCATTAGACTGATTGAGGCTTACAAGGTGCTCATGTAAAGCACATCTTACTTGTTGTCTAGAAGAAAAATCAAACCATAGCATTAGTGCTGCAAGCACCAGATTTCTAAAACTAAAATATTCTCGTGAAGTCACCCAGCAAATAAAATGTTTATGTGATATTTGGTGGTCCTTAAATATATACATAGTCACATCAGCAAAATCATAATGAGCAAATAGAATACAATCACACCTCGATATAACGAGCATGGTAATAACGAACTATAGGTTAGAAGACAGTGAATGAAGAATAGCCTTGTAGTAGAGATAATACTAGGAATAAACATTTAAAATAAATTTTCGGATATAACGAAGTCACTTTTGCATAACAACCAACTGTTATAGTAAGCTTTGAGTGCATATAACTACGTGCAGTAACTTGTTATGCCCCTACATTCATTATACCGAGCTTTCACCACAATACTTTACTAGTTAGATCAATTAATCAATCAAACAAACAAATATTTATTTATTCAGCAAGATCTGGGTGGACTGTAGGACTAAAAGCTGCTCTAGGCAGCTTGACTGGGTCCCCATAGACCCTTACGTTGGCCACATATGACATTTACAGCACGATTATGCAAAACAACAAATTATACATTTAACGTACGTGAGTAATCCTATAAGAGTTCCAGAAAGTACCACATCAAGTGATAAGCATAGCATACAAAGATTTACACTAAGATTTGTGTCAACTATAGTAAAACAGTCAGAAATGCTCTCGGCAATTCTCACCTATTTTAATGTGCTCTATAAAGTAAGAAAAGTTCTTGAAGCCCAGGGCATTCGTTGCATTCATGACTAGGTGAAATTTCTTTGTTTCCTTGCGAAGCGCCGGCTTGGATGCCACAGTCCACGAACAAGACGACTCACTTCCTGTGTGGGTTGCGATGGGGCACCTCCGATACCAGCCTTTGTGTGCCCTGTTTGGGGAATTTGAAAGCACGTCACTCATCTTGGCATTCACACTGGCCCGATTTAGCCACAATAGCCGAACAGCGATCTCTCACTTTTCCGCTCTCATGACGAGAGTGCCGGCCAGCAAATATCGCGGAGTTTAGAGAAATACCACCGTAAATGCCCACAGGTGAATGCCGCGTCAAAAGTAGACAGGCATATGATCCCTCTGCCGCAGTGCAGCTGCCTGACTCAACAAACTAAGTTTAACACTTAAAGGGCCCTTGAACAACCTCTGCAAATACGAAGTACACGCGCATTATTCTGTCTGGGTTTCCCATCTCTGCGACACAGTTAAGGACGCGAGTAGTATGTTCAAGTGGCAACGGGATGAAATAAGCCGTCGACTGGTTGGTGTGGAAGAGATTTCTCTTGTGAATTGTCCCATACACTGCTTTACCATGAAGTCGTATGCCCATTCGGCCTTGCCTCGCAATAATATTGTGCATGATAAACTTATTCTATCTTGTTTTCCGTATTCGTGCCTGCGCAAGATGACATAGCAGCACGTAGTCGAAAAGCACAGAACCATTACTAGCTCAACCCTTAGCGACGACAATCCATGCGTTTTATGAAGAAATAAGTGGCAAGGAGGAGATGGCGCTAGCAATAAGGTTAGCGAAGCAGAGAAAGAAACGTCTGTCTTCTTTGAACATAGGGTGGCTTAGGGATCTTTAGAGGAAGCGACTGCAACACTGTTCAACCACATTGAAGAATGGTGCTGTGTGCATGCTAACCTCTGGGCTCAAATACGAATATGATGCAGGTTTCTTTTTGTGACGAGCAGGGAATTTCATGCCAACAACAGTTAAAGCTAAAGCTTCAATGAACAGTTAAAGTTAAAGCTTCAGAAGCATGCAGATATTAACAGGACAAAGGCTTCTAAGAATCTCACTACCAGGACAATTGCCGACTTGGTGCCTAGGTCTGGCATGCATGCGGAGTTGGCAGAGCTGACACCGAGAGTTTTAGAACAGCTTTTGTCCTCCTGAGATGCTAATGCGACGCAAAGGAGCTTTTTGGGCTGCATGCTATTTTGGATTTTTCGTGGGCGGAACGAAACACCGCGGTTAGCGTTGCGTGTGCTCTACTCCCTAGTATCTGCACAGAAAAAAAAAAAAAGAAAATGCGTGTAATGGCCAATACTCACGGTAAAATCGCAAACCACTCTCCGAGCGCGTATTCGGTCTTGACACTATTTGGCGGTGGTTCCCAATAGCAGGTCAGGTTCTTGTAGTAGTAACTGATGCACTGGAAGTTTTTAACGGGAAGAGGTGGATCTGCAAACAAAAAGAAGAAAAAGTCAGCTTCAACCTGAATCATATTTCAAAACTATGAGCCCTAATCACATGCAGTGGGATTCAATTCAAAGACCTGTGTGTGGCACCATAACCACAAGGCAACCACAGCCATGAACTATAAAAACGTTGATGAAGCACTGAACATGTGTCGACCTGCATAGGGTAACAACTCGAACCTCTCATTCCCTGTAAGCAACACGCTTCGGGTGCTTTTCCAGTACTTAAAGCATGAAACGCACTTATCCAACACATGAAACACACTGTGAAATCTCGTAGACTTAGTACTCCTCCTGTTCCTCGCGTTTTCCCAACATTTACGATTTGAAAAGGCAGTTATAACACTAATTTGTAGCAACATTTAGTGAACACTAGATTTTCCCAAACCTTGTTTTTTTTTTTTTTTTTTCTCATAGTCCGCTAATAAAACAAAATCCTAAGGCTCCATTCCATATAGATGCAGCTAATGTCTATAGTGCTTAAATGAATCAATCAAGTCGCACTCGTTTACCTTGTAAAATGGAGATGTGATCGCAAAGCGCACTGCATTAGGGGACTCCTCAATATCACCAAATCTTCTTCACAATGTTCACCCAAAATTTAGGCACAAGAACAGCCTTTGCACATCTCACCCATTGAAATGCAGCCACCACTGCCAAAACCAAAGCTATCAACTCGTCTACATATCCTTCTCATGACAGCGGATTAGGCACCATAACCCAGTGACCATGGGTATCAGCGGGAGGGGTGGGGGCTCACAAAAGAGGCAAGTGGGCAAAATCCTGCCTGTGCCCATCCTATAGACTGAAAAAAAAGAGTAGCTCAAATTAAGACTTCTAGGTGTTCTGAGCTGCCAAGTCGAGATATTGTCTGCTTGTAGCAAAAGTACAGAGACAAAAATGCACTGGGGGGACGAAGCACCCACCTCCGACGGTGACCTGCGTGGCGCAGACGTGGAACACCCTGGGGGCGCGAATGTTGCAGTTGTAGTTGCCCGTGTCCGAATATTCCGAGCGCTCCTTGCGGAACGCCACCCACAGGTCGCCCGCTGTCAGCAGCTCACTGGGAACCTTGGTGTCGTTGAACTTAATCTCCAGGTGGCTGGCGTTGACCGAGTACCGCTTGCTCGAGATCGTAAACTCGGGAGTCTCAAGCGTGCAGTTGAGCACCAGCGGGTCGCCCACCTTCAAGCTGAAGTCCTTGGGCATGTCTGCATGCAAAAGAGAAAACAGTTTAAGAGTCTTTAGACAGTTGAATGACGTTTTGTTGATAAGAGGATTAACAAAGCTACCAAGGTGTGATTATGACAGACACCGTACTGGCGGACACCTAATGAATTTAAACCGCCGAGGTATCTTGGACCTGCATGCAAATCTAAATGGATAGGTGTGCCCGTGTACGTTCTTGACTATTGCCACATCGGAATGCGGGCGCAGCTCAGAAGGTAGTACGTTTGATTGCAAGTAACGATTGCATAGCGAATGTGTCTGTCATATCACTACATCATGACAACAGGCTGGGAGCCTGATGAACATCGCATTACAAGGAGAAACCACTTTTTTGTGCCCAATTAGTACATCTCTAAATACACACACACAGATGTGTGTGTGTGTGTGTCAGGTTTAACACTGGCACACAAGGTGTGTGTCAGGTTTAACACTGAGACGCCCACTATCACTGACAGCCATCGGAAAAGCTTTACCAGTCGCGAGCTGCACGGTAAAGAAATTTCTGCTCTGTTCGTTGCTTCTAATTTAGTGAGGTACTGTATAGCCTGCAAGAATGTTTGACTGGATGACGTTCCCAGACAGAGCAATATGCAATGCTTTTCAAAATTATGTTCACCATTACTTTTGCTGCAGGGCGGACATCTGCACTTTTACAATCTGTAATATTATCTAGGCTTGCTCCTGAGTGCTGATTGACATACTTTGGGTACTCGTCCTCGAGAATACTGGCTAACAGCCAGTACTTATCCAAGCCTTATAGTGGTGCCTATACTTACTTTTAAGTTCCATTTTCGCTGAAAAATAGAAATATGCATTAAAACTACAGCAATGAGAACCTTTATTTTGAATATATTTTGCTGCCACCCTGATTTTAGTTATGTATTCTTCACTGCACTCACTTAAGCTGATTAGTACCATCACAAAGCTCTGGGTTTGTAGATTTTATGTTAGTAAGTTATCATAGGAGAAAATTGGGGGGAGAATTCTGCTTTTCTGAAATTCATACCAAGAACATAACACTGGTAGGTCAGTGCGACACAACAGTTTTATACTTTTCTCACTTGGACTAGTGTGCCTCTTTGAGCAGCAGACTGTCAAGTTCAGCAATGGGCTTTTTCCTTTAGGATTCTACATTGCCCATCTCTGTTTACAGGATGCCTGAGAAGAGATTATTGAAGTTTACAACAGTACTAGGAGCTGGAGAGAAAGCTTTCATGTGCAAAATCAACACAGGTGATGAAGATGCCATCTTTGAGCATATGGCCCTTGTTCACTAAAACTTCCGCAGTTTTGTTATTGATTTAGCCAAAGCTGTTTAATAAGCAGCCAAAGGAGGACAGCCATTGAGGATTCTTGCCAATGAAAGCTTTACTTTGCCACTTGACACACACGTGGGCAGTCATGTCAAGAAGCTTTTATAGCAGAGCTGTCTTGGTCTACTGAGTGCCACTGCCATATTAACAATATTAGTAGTAGTAGTAGTAGTAGTAGTAGTAGTAGTAGTAGTAGTAGTAGTAGTAGTAGTAGTAGTAGTAGTGATGGTGGTAGTCACACATGTCATATGACAAAAAGGGAGATTGCACAGAAAAATAAATAAGCATGTTTCATAATAATGCTTGAAATGTGTAAGCGTGCATATTTCGAATCTAATAGCGGATTTGCGACACAGCGTGGTCGCAGTATCTGTGTATGCTAATAAAAAAAAAATGATATTCAACTACGTACACGCATGCACTTAACAGCTTTGCCGTCCCACAGTAGTCCGAGCGTGCAACGGGCTCCACACGCACAATGCGAGAAAACGTGGGCAGAACCTACCTCCGGAAATGGGCGAGAACACAGACTTGCAGAGGGATGCCTGGGCGCCTGGAAACACGTACAGCAGGAGCAGAAGCCCGACGCCACTTGCCAGGTGCCGCCAGTGCCTCCCGTCCATGACAGAAGCGGTGCACACGCTGCCCCTTCGTTGGTTACAAGTGGTGCTATCGAGGAGTCCGCCGAATCATGCACCCGGCGTAATAACTTGTGCACTACCCTTTTCAGTCAGCAGACTTGGTTGTTCCGCAGGGCTCTGCGAGAAGATTCAAAGAGCCAGGAGTTAACAACAGCAACCCACATTCAGTGCTTTGCAAGAAAAAGAGAATTTGTATTGATTTCTGTTGTTTTTGGTATCCCAGGTCTGCATGTGTAGTGGTCACAACCAAAACCTATTAAAAGCACTGCAAAATTATGACTAAATGAAACTAACACGCAATGCTAAACCAGGCCTATAATTCCAGATTTCAAAGAATATTTCACACTTTGCCGTGTATAAAGCACCAAGTGCTGACAAAAGTTGTTACAGAAAATCTTTAGAAAAGGAAAAGGCGCATGCCAAGAAGTCACCTATACAAATCAGAATTCCAAAACAAATAGCTAAGTGAAAGGTATTTTCAATATCAGTCTGTGGTTCTAATGTTACCTTCCAAGAAAGAAAGCCCATAACCATTGTGCGGCATTGAAAAAAAAAAGGTCCAGGAAATAAGACACTCACACTTACCAATTTCGGAATAGTTAGTAATTAGACCAAAATTTAAAAGTGTAGTCCGTGGCTTCCTGTTTACAAACAACAGCTGCCAAGAGAGTACAGTGCCCAACACATCCACCAACACATGTGGCCCGCACTCCATCGAAGCCAAGGTCGACTAACAGGACCTGCCAATTTGCTCTAGCAGGGGGTGAACCACATGGCAGGGAATGCAGAGAGAGAGCCGAGACATCTTTCGCGCGCCCGAACGTCACCCTCCGGGCCCTGCCAAGGGGAAGGCCGTGGCCTTGCGAATCCAAGGAGAAACGCCCCATCCCCGCTCTCCACGTCTCACCCTGCCCTCCGTTGATGATGACACCCTCCTCTCTAAACCAGTTCCACCTGCCCATGGCCCACCGAACGCTCCTGGCTAGGCTACATATGCAAACAGCAGCAAGCCTTCCTCTCCTGTAGCAGGGTCATTTGCTCTCCACCCTTTCCGACGCTGCAACACAACGCACCTCCAGGATGAACAGGTAGTAACTCCTGGTCGTCATATGGCATTTCCCTTTCCCACTATTTGCTTCCTCCCTCTCTCCATAACCGTGACTGCATGCAATCAGACTCCGAAGTGCATTTATGCAATGATAGCTGGCCCGCCGCCGGATCCCCTCCTGTTGCGTAACCAACCCGGAAAATGTAGCCCTGACCAACTCTGTAACCAACCATTTTTTTCCTCGCAGATGCAGCGCACGCAAATGACAGCCTTGGGAAGGTGCAGGTCATGGGCACAAGACCAGACAGAGTTGGTCCTGCTTCCTGCAGTAGCGTGGTCAGCACATTGTAACAACACTAACATTCGCTCTATTTAACCACAATATAGTGACTACAAAGCAAAAAATGTTGGCTCAATAACACACCACCCAACTCTAATTACTGTGCAGTCTTAACGGTAAAGACTTAGCACTGAGGTTACAGTTAATAGCCTCAGTTTGTGTGAAGAGGCATTCATTTCTAAGATGGAGCATACTTACACCACAACTAGCGTAACTGAGTAACGAATAACCAGAACATGTGTGCGGTGGTGGTCTCAATGCAGGAGTTGAGAATCTCGAAGGCAAGCGAAGGAGATTACGTTTGGCACCTACACACCTCATGGCATTTTATAGTTCAGCGGCAACAGTTCTTGCTGCACTCCACGCTGTTTCTCAGTTTTGAACTCACCTTAAGATTCACGTACGCATATTAACAAGCTACTGCAGATTCTCCTCACGGTGATACAAAGTACACACATAGCCTGACTACGAGCCATAGATGCATTTGGAACAATGAAAAGCCCTTCAACTTGAATTTCCCTTGTGGTGAGTAGCATCATGGACGGGGACATTCAACCCTGTTGACACCCACGGGGCTTTCGAAAACCGGTGCCAAACACCGCGTTCAAAAGACGAGGGTGTGAGCGAGATTGAGGGGCCAGCCCTGCTGCCTGCCTTGATGAGCTCAAAATAAGTTCAGCCCTCTCCGACCCAAAGAGGCGGCGATGGTTCACTTGCATGCTTACCCGGGGGAGGAGCTTCTGCGACAGGGCCCTTAGGAATGCTTACGAAGTAAATACGGGCCACCGCGAGAGGACCCTGGGCTGATAGCTTAAATAACAAACAGCGGGCCTCGCTTGCCACACAATGGAAGCAGGCAAGCTGATGCACCAAACAAACACGCCTTGCATAGTGCGCCATGCAATGACCTGCCCATCTCCCTGGAATAACTTGACCCAGCCTCGTTGCATGAGCTGGCTCCGTAGAGATTGTGCATCTGTACTAAATCTCTGTCGTGCGAGTGGATGCCTGTGCTTTTGGTTATTGCCAAGGAAAACATCTCCCCAGGGGTATTTCTGTTCACTCCACTGCCCCCGAGTTCTAAATGTTGCATCTCTGCAGGCAGGCTGGTCCTGCCAACACGAAACCATTAACCAATTTATCAGAGTAAGAACGAAAATGCAAATGAGAAGAAACAAAAAATGAACAATCACAGAAAAGTGCACTCTTGCCAACTTTAAAGCATTGTGCGAAGCATGAAGTCCCCAGCATCACATATCTAAGCAAGAGGGAGCAGGCGCTGTTTCGAGTTGCCGAGTGGACACCACTCTAATGCCTGCTGAAAGTCTTTGGTTATGCAGGATGCCTATTTGCATAGTTTGATCCCGGCGTGACGCTACAGCAGCGATGGTGACAAGCAAGAACGATTTGTTGCACAAGACAGCAAATATTCAGGCAGTACCAAAAGCCACGGAACAAATTAAGAGATTGTTTAAGAGGGCCGTGAAGCCGCACACTGTGTGACAGATGAAGCATTTACACGTTTACACGGAAGTGTGTCTAAACCCTGGGCGTCACTGCGAAAAAATGTCAGGTGAGAAGTGGCCACTTCATTTCTTGATGTGGTTTTGAGCCAAATGGGTGCCCGAAATGCTTTTTTTTTTAATTTGACATCCAAGGGCCATATTTTCTAACAATTAGGTTTCCATGGAGCTCATTTTGCAAGCGAACAATTTGGCGAAGTCGACGCCAAGCGTTGGGGCGATGGCAATCGTGTGCTGGCAAGCAAGACCACTGGAAAGTCCATCTTCACAGAATGCAGCCCAATCATTTGCACATACATGGGTAAGTAGACTGCCTCAGTACTCAAGACCTTTGCCGAGCTTGACAGAAATGTAGCAGTGCGATTACCTACCCAGCCTGGGCGTTAATGCTGTTCTGATATTCAATTCATTTTCATCTCAAGGAGGAGGGCAGGCTCAGGAGAAAAGTGGCGTGTGCCACTTTTGAGGAGACAGCCTGGGCCTCCCCAATACACGGCAAGCAACGAGGACACGCGTAAACATAGAGCATGGAACATAGGCCATGAACACAGAAAATTAACATATATTATCAAATGTTTGATGCAGTCCAAAAGAAAAAGAAGATGCAGTTACAGTAATAATATGCACAGAAACTAATATAGGCAGGTAGTTTCTTACCGCACCAATTGGGACGTTCAATGCAAAACGTGACAGAACTACAACATACTACATATGTAACAACAACGTTATGCATAAAGATCGTAAATAAATAAGTGTATACAAATGCAATGCATACATATATTTATATACATACATACATACGCATTTACGCAGTTTCATTAATATTTGAACCGCCATTTCTCGACTTTCACAAGAAAAGCGCATCCCTAACTTCACGTGGAGTGCATTCTTGAATCATTTTTTGAAGTAATTTATAGTATGTATAATTGATAAGCACGCGCTACTTGATATAATATTTTGTATCGTTATGAGAAACTGCCTGATATGCAATCCCAGGATAGTGATTCCCGAGTAATGTGACGATTCAAGACAGTCTTCACTAAAGCAGGCCAGATGAAGAACAAGAAAAGCAATATCTATGAAGGGTGCGAATTTGCCCCTCGTCACTCGATTTCTCGGGAGTAACCCACCCTCGGAGAGGAGCCCATAGCAACGTCCCCCCCTCCCCTCGAAGCTGCCATCCTGAGGCATCTGCGTTTGCTCCAGAAGGGCTGATAAATGCAGAACCTTCAGCAGGAAAGAGGCTACAACTCAGTAAAAAAAAAAAGGGGGGGGGGGGCAAAGTTGGGCGCTTGATACTGCATACTACACACGCGCGAATGGGAGAGGCAGGAGAGATAGGTGGGGAGGAAGGGGGGTGCAAAGAAGACGACGAGGGGCGTGCGCGACGAAGGACGGAAGGGCCACCAGAGGGCGGGGGCGTAAAAATCCCGTCTGCCAAAAAAGCACTACGACCCCTCTCACCCACAGCCAATACTTGCCCAAGCCTCTAAAGCGAAAGCCTCGCTAGATCGAGAAGAGGCATGCGCCAAACTGGCGAGAAGGTTAGAAGAGAGGAGGACGGCCTGTGAAGTGTGCCGCCGTCTGCTTATCAGCGTCACCATCCATCACGGCGGCGGGGGGTTCGACCAGGGGTCCGGAAACGAAGAAGCCTTGACGCTACCCCCCCCCCCCCCGATCTCCCCCTACCCATCTCTCACTCTTCCCGGCACCTCGCCCGACGCTAGCTGGTTGCAAAGGCGAGAGAGAATGACATATAAGGCGCCCCCTTTCTTCATCTTCGCCTTGCCAGTTCCGTGCAGACCAATTTGTTCCAGTTTATATCGGGTGCCACCATCGAAAACGAGAACAGATGGGCATTACTTTTTCTGCCACCCTAGGCGTTATCGGCAACTTGGGTGCCGAACGCGGCAGTGCTTACAAGGTAGGCCTTGTTGACCGTAACAAAAGACGGTGTTGTAGCCCTATCTCGGAATATCACATTCAAGCCGTGTTTTCCCGACTTCCAAGATTTAGCGAAGGAGGCGACCGACACACTCATGATCGATTGCGACTAGAACCGTCTAATTGTGGGTACAATTTTGCCCGCTTCTTACGCAAGCTGAAATTAATCTAAGGTCCCAGAAAGCTATTCTTGGCCCAACGTATCAAAAGCTGCAGGCTAATAGGTATGCTCGTCTGTCTTCGTTTACACTATGAGGTGCAA